TCTCTCTCTGCCTCTCTGTCTCTCTCTCTCCCTCTCTATCTCTGTCTCTGTCTCTCTCTGTCTCTCTCTGTCTCTGTCTCTGTCTCTCCCTGTCTCTGTCTCTGTCTCTCTCTCTGTCTCTCTCTGTCTCTCTCTGTCTCTCTCTGTCTCTCTGTCTCTCTGTCTCTCTGTCTCTCTCTGTCTCTCTCTCTGTCTCTGTCTCTGTCTCTGTCTCTCTCTCTCTCTCTCTCCCTCTCTCTCTCTCTGCCACACCCCTGATCTTCTGGTAGGAAAGATCGACACCTAACCTTCTCGGATAAGGGCGAAAATTCTTGGAAGTCCCGTGCGCAAGTTACTCACGTTAAAGATCTCTTGGTGGTTCAAAATCGACAAGAGAAGGCTTTGGCTGCCACCCAGGCAAAATTCAAAATTTCCTACCAACTGAAAATGTCCCGCGCGCTCAGATGACCTTATGCAGTTGCGAGCGCCGTAAAACACTTTATAAAAAGTGCATAATATGTGCGTGTTTACAAAAGCCTGTAGTATGCATTCATTTACACACTATTTCATGTATGAATTTTTAAAAGAAAGAAAACTTCAAGTTTGATTTTACAATTATTGTAGGAAAAACTGAACAGCAAGCGTGTCATGTATCCGAGTCTGTCTTTCTGTCTGTCTCTGACCAAGCTGCTGTTGCTTCGCGGAGGGCTTGCACGAGATCTGTGATTGACTGTTTCTGAAAAAAACACAGAAAACACCATTATAAACAGTTAATGATCTATTGGTCAAAAATTGATTACAAAGTCATATAAATACTCTGTAGGTCTCGTCATAGTACTAACCCTTGTAAAATGAAATTTTTTTTTTCCTTTAATCATCGTATTTCAGTAACATTCACAAGGAAGTATGTTTTTATATGGACATAAAAGGGTTTGGGTGAAAAACAAAAATTCGATAAAAATTGCTTTAACTGGCGGAAAAATGCGTGTGTCTCCGATTTCGATATTTTAACAAGCGCCTGCTTTCACCAAGATACCTCACTCCTGGTTTATATGGTCACGCATCGATCAAGTCCCAGACCGGTCAGAGGGTTCCTTGGGGCTCCTAGGGTTAGCTTAGAACTCAGCCCGAAATTTGAAAGCATTTTTAAAAAATGCAATATATGACTAAACGCAGAACAAAGAAACTACATACATTCGAAAGCAAACAATTAGGAAATATCATACGTATAGCACTTCACCAGCTCGCCAGTAAAGTCTACAGACTACAGGAAAGTATCAGGGTACATGGCAAGAGGAAGACCAAGAAAGACCTGGATCCAGGGTGTGAAGGATACCCTGAGAACATAATACAATATCCCACTTTAGACCGCGCCAGGCCATCAAACTTGCTAGAGACAAAGCTGTTTCTCCCCTCGACGCCCCGGAGGTACAAGAGGACGGAGAACGTCAAGTAAGTAAAAAGTAAACATAACAAAGAAAGTGTTGGACTGAAATCCACAAGGTCTAATTAAAACCCTTAACATACAAGACGAGACAGGCAGAGAAACGATCGAAGAAGCAAGCGAGCAGCTATCGGCACTGAGTCCTGCCTGCATTTCATAGAAAGACAGAGTAAAACAGTTTGGCCACCTGTTACGTTTGTCACCTGACCAGCCAGCCTCGAGAGCCTACAACACCAAGCACTCAGGCTATAAAGGAAGAGGAAGACCACGCAAAAGATGGATCGAGGGTGTCAAGGAAACCCTGAGAAATTATAATATCCCAATTGAAAGAGCTGCGGAGCTGGCCTACCATAAAAAAACTGCATCTCCCCTCGACGCTTAACGGCAACAGAGGATGAACAAGTAAGTGAAGTAAAAAAGTAAAGTATTACGCTTTTGTCTTTGTAAAAATATCTCTACAGTTAGGGATAAAAATGTCATAAAGGATAAATGCATCGAAAGGAGACAGTCACAAGCTATGGACGTTTATTACAACCATAAGAAGGCGCATTCAGAACAACCGAAGACTCTGATACATATAATAGTTTATAACATTTATTGCAGTGACTGAAAGCCGCAACGATAGGATACCGTAAAGAGAATTTTCATAAAATTTCATTTTTTCAGATATAATGTACAGTCTGCAGAATATATGACCAGATGCCAAGCCCATAAAACACACAGACACAAAATATGTAGCCACAAAGACACCCCCACCCACCCACTCACACACTCACACAGTCTCTCTCTCTCTCTCTCTCTCTCTCTCTCTCTCTCTCTCTCTCTCTCTTTCTCTCTCTCTCTCTGTTTCTCTCT